AAGCCTGGAAATGAAGGCTGCAATGAACTATGATTCACTGCTGTACTCCAGCCTGAGTGACAAAGTGAGACCCTGCCCCCACCACAAAAAAATGTTAACCAAGCCAGGACTCTACACCAGGCAGTCTGATTCATGAGTCAGCCTTAACCTCTGCCTTGCAATAAAACCCAAATTATCCAGTACTCTCAATGGGGACAATTGACATAGTGTTGGCCAGGACATTGCCCCATGATGTCCAGGCTTATGAGACATTGGTCAGAGGAGAGAGAGAGAGGGTGACAGGAACAAGGCATTAACAGCCAGGCTGGCTGTCAGTAGCATTTGATCCCAGGCAGGAGATTCTAATGGATCTCACTCTAAGCAGGACACAGACAGGCTCTATGTGGTTAGAGATGAAGGGAGGAGGAGGAGGAGGAGGAGTGAGTGTTTGCGAGCTCAGCCCACATGAGGGCTGATGTCAGTCCTCTTTTGTGCATTTGTGTCCGAATTTGACATCTGATGTAAACAGTTGGTGTTAAATTCTGTCCTGTGTTTCCAATCCGCTGAATTGGGAGTCCCTCATGGGAGCATTTGGGTGGGCCTCAGCAGCTCTGGCTCAGGAACCACCAGATGCTTCCCAGAGAAAGTTGTTCGGCTGCCCGTACCTCCTGCCACACTTGCCTCTTCACACTTCTACATCTCCTTCTTTCCTTTGCTCGGATGGGTCAACACATATTGTAGGGCAAGCCCGTGTCATAGGACCTGTAAAGATACTTCCAATTGGTAAGATTTGAAGGCGAAAGTCACTGACCATGAAACAGAATGAAGACCATAAGAAGGTGGAAGCTTAGACTCTAGTTACTGGGCTCTAATGAACCGTGGCGTCATGAATTTTAGTAAAAACAAGGCCAGGGGTTGCTGTCTTGCTTCTTCATGCCTGGCTCTTTCCCTGAAGCCACAGCTCTCCTTGAATTGTTTCTGAAGTGCCAGGCACTTTTTTCACTGGGGCTGCTGAAAACAAATCAGAAACTGATTTAAGGAGCATCTCCTCCCCTGATGGGGCGCCTGTGGCCTAAGGCTTCAAGTGGTTGGGTGCCTTCTCTGAGTGTTCTCCGTCAGGCAGGCGACCTCGCCCTAGAGATGTGCCACATGCTTTCGGAGCCACAAATATTTCACACCATGAGCTCCCAGCTGCTGCCCTTCCCCTCTCTTTCATTCCTTTCCACCTCTTCCTCATTCCTAATCCCACACCTTAAAATCCCTTTAGCCACTGTCACCTTACCTTGTCCCTTTCTCGTGTGGACCTCTCTCTGGAAGTTCCAAATCTGGGAAGCCTTAATGCACCTCTAGCTTCAACCTGCTTGGCAGAGGAAAGTAAAATGAACATCTGCGAATGTTTCCTACATGGCAGAGGTTGTTTGCAGTGCCTTATGTTATTTCATACAAACCTCATGACAACTTAAAAAGGAAATGTTTACTCTCAGAGGTCCTGAGGCTACTTAGGCTTAGATTAGAAAGTGCCAAAACCAGGCTTCAGACCCATCACTGTCTACCTCCAGAGTCCACAGTCTTTGTATGATTTTGGATGTCTCCAGAGCCCCATTCAGCTTTCTCAGCTTTCTAACCTCATAGCTCTGTTCCCATGCAGAATTGATCTTTCACTTCTTGGAGTTTAGAAAAGAAAGAAGGGGCAGGGAGGAAATAAAGGAAGAAAAGAAAAGAATAACCTTCCAGCTTTTTTTTTTTTTTTTAAGGAGAATACATCTTTGTTGCATAACTAGAACAATAACATAACTTGTTCTGTGTGCATGTGTGTTTTAACTGGAAGGGGGCATGTGTCATTCAGTGATTATTTAAAAAAAGGTGAAGCCATGGAACCATAAGAAAATGATACCATGAAACACAATAAAGACCATAAGAAGGTGGAAGCTCAGACTCCAGTTACTGGGTGGCAGTGACTGAAGTGATAGTGGTGGAAGGAGCTCCAAGGCCTGGCCTTTCTAGGTCCCTTGCAGCCAGAATCATGTCAGTAGAGACTCAGGATTCTGTTGAACATGGTGAGAAAGCTTCTGATTATGTTTCCTTTTAAAATAAGCCAGCTAAGGCCTAGAGAGGGGAAGTGGCTGGCAAAGTCAGGACTAGTGCCTGAGTCTCCCAGCTTCTATCCTGCAGCTTTTTACAGAAATCTCAGGTTGTATATTTTTGCACAAACTCTGCAGGATGCAGTCCAGGGAGGGATGCAGGTGGAGGCAGAGAGGGTGGAGGGCCTGGGCTTCCCCTTTTTCTCCTTCCTCATCACCAACAACCTAAACTCCCAATGAGGTAGGTCAGGGAGAGGACTGACAGGGATTACAGAAGAGTTCAAACGAGGTACAAGGGGTCAAGTTTGGTAGCTGACAAGGAAGAGAGGTGAGGCAGAAGATGAGGGGAGCTGGTGAGGTAAACAGAGCAAAGGAGCTGCCCTCCCAGCTCAGGACCAGGGCTGAACTAGAGTCTGGGCCCTGGTCTTGTTCTAGTTCCCCTTGAGCAAGTCCTGGCCCTTTTTCCTGTCTGTTTCCTTTGAAGGCTTCTATGCCACCACCAGTGAGCGTGTACAGGCTGCAGGAGGAGCAGTGAAGAGCAGGGTGCTACAGAGAGCACTGCACCCGGGGAACGAGAATTAGCTGACCCAGCTCAGCCTGTAAGTAGCTGAATGTCTTGAGACAGCTTAAATGTTTCCCTGGACCTTAGCTTCCTTGCCTGTTAAACAGGATGGCGCCAGATGACCTCTAAGGGTCCTTCTGGCTCTGAAAGCAATGATCTGGGGCATGGAGCCTGTGGTTAGAGAGCTGGGGAATGGGCAGGTGTGGGCTCCAGGTCACCCAGCATTGCAGGCTTAGCAGCTAACAGCAACCAGGTGTTCTGTGGCCTAGCAATCTGACTTTATAGGTGAGGAGACTGGCCCTAGACAGGCAAAGTGATTTTTTTGCTTCTCTCAGCTTTATTCCCCTTTTGCCTTTGAACTGTAGAGTCTAAAGATTCAGCACATAGCAGTTTTGTGTAGTGAATACATACGCTTTTTTGTTGTTAGTTTTCTGAATATTTTATTGACTTTCAAAGTTTTTTTTACATAAACGGTAAATGCTCGTTATGAAAATTTCCATTAATACAGGAAGTGAAAAAGTAGAAAACTGCAAAGTGCTGTTATCCTCCCACGCTTACCCACTAGGTCCCCAGAGGTGTCTCTGTAAACAGTTCAGTGTGTATCCATCCTGACCTTTCCAGTGAATGCATGAACTTGTATGCCCTTCCCCCACAACTGGATTATCATACACATTATTCAAGCATAAGCTTTGGAATCAGACATATCTAGAATCTAATCCCAGCTCATAGCTAATTATTTGCATGACCTTGGCTAAAGTTATTGAACCAGTTTTAGTTTCAATCTCCCCAAGTGTAAAATGAAAATAATAATAGTATCCACCTGGCCTGAAGTGGCAGTTTACACCTGTAATCCCAGTACTTTGGAAGGCCGAGGCTGGTGGATCGCTTGAGCTCAGGAGTTCAAGACCAACCTGGGCAATTTAGCAATACCTCATCTCTACTAAAAACAAAGCAAAAAAACCCCCAAAATTAGCCGGGTGTGGTGGTGCCCACCTGTAGTCCCAGCTACTCGGAAGGCTGGGGTGGGAGAATTGCTTGAGCCAGGAAAGGTGAGGCTGCAGTGAACTGTGATTGCACCACTGCACTCTCACCTGGGCAACGGAGTGAGACCTTGTCTCTGTTAAAACAAGCAAACGGCCGGGCGCGGTGGCTCACGTCTGTAATCCCAGCACTTTGGGAGGCTGAGGCAGGCAGATCATGAGGTCAAGAGATTGAGATCATCCTAGTCAACATGGTGAAACCCCGTCTCTACTAAAAATACAAAAGTTAGCTGGGCATGGTGGCATATGCCTGTAGTCCCAGCTACTCAGGAGGCTGATGCAGGAGAATTACTTGAACCCAGGAAGCGGAGGTTGCGGTGAGCCGAGATTGCACCATTGCACTCCAGTCTGGGCAACAAGAGCGAAACTCCATCTAAAAAAATAAAAACAATAACAACAAGCAAACAAAATAGCATTTACTTTATAGGATCGTGGTAAAGATTTAATGAGATTTTATATGAGTAGCACTTAACAGTTCCTGGTACTAGTAGTAGTAAGCACTACACACACACATACCCGCACACACACACTGACACACACAGAGCACAGAATGAGTTAGACGTAGAATGAAAACTAGACCCCTAGTTTTCTGACCCTCAGTCTCTTCGACTTTCTACCACACCTCTCTGCTTCTCTCCTAGGTGCCTAGGCATGGGTTAAAGGCTCACTACTTGTTGAATGAATGATTGAGGTGGTGGGGGTGGGGTAGATCTGGGGATCTGAGGTCTGTGAAGTTTCTGGGATGCCTGCTCTGGAAAATGGAGGCTTTCTCCCTGTGAGTTGTGGGGTGTGGGGCAGTGTGGGTTGGCTGGACCAGCTGTTGCTTCAGAGCTCCATGCCTGGAGAGTTGGGCCTCTGGGCAGAGCTGAGGGCCCAGAGTGGCTCTCAGCTTAAAGGATCTTGGCTTAGAAGGAATGCACAGTGGGCTGCCTCTGCTCAGGAGGGGCTAAAAAAAGCCTCACCCTCCCCTGGGCTTTGTGTGAGGGTTATCAACTGCTCAAGTCAGCTCATCTCTCCGGCTGCTCTGGCATATTTGAGAAGGTCTGTTTTCCTGGTCCTTCTGCGTTTCCACCAATTGGCAGGAAGGGATCAGCCTGTTCTAGAGGTGAAGAGAGAGGTGTGGGGTGAAGGGGAGGGGGCTGGTGGCCCCAAACCTGGTGACAATATGCAGTTGCCAGCTGTACCCTGCTGGCATTTCTTCCTTTTATAGTCAGCAGCAGTTGCTGTCGCTCTCACCCAGCCCCTCTGTGGGGGCTCCTGCCCAGGATAAAAGGGAAGGGAGGCGGCCCAGGCGCCTATCTCGTCTCCCAGACACCACGTCTCTTGGTTTCTTCTCAGATCTCTCCTCTGACAAAGATCCCAACAAGACAACATGGCTCCCAAGAAGCCTGAGCCTAAGAAGGAGGCCGCCAAGCCAGCTCCAGCTCCAGCCCCTGCGCCAGCCCCTGCCCCAGCTCCTGAGCCTCCCAAGGAACCTGCTTTTGACCCCAAGAGTGTAAAGGTAAGTGAGGCTTAGGCATTGGGATGGATGTGGGATGACATTCAGAGTCCTTTTGCTCTGGAGCTTAGAGATCTACTTCATGTGGGCTGGACTGGGATGAGGACTAGGGCGTCCATGCCGCAGACGACAGTCCCATGGGGGAGTGGAGAGGGTGTTGGGGCTGAGGAGGGGGATATTGGGCCATAAACCTTTTCCATCAAGAATGAGGTGCTGGTCTGAGGGAGACCTGTTCTGCTACCCTAGATTTGTGCAGCTAAGCTGGGAATGGTTGGGGGGGTGAGGTACAACCAACCACCCTTCCACCCTTTTTTTAAGGCATTGTGAGGACCACCATAGCAACGTAGAAGAGACTAGCTAGCCGTTTCGTAGGAGGTAGTGGGATGTCTTTATGGAGAACGGACACGTCATGGCAGCTGCCAGTGTAGCTTGGAGTAAGTGATATAAACAGTCAGGGAATGTCCTGCCTGTGCATGGAGGACAAACACTCTTATGGCATGTGAGGGCAGGGTGGAAAGGAGGTTGTGGTTAAGATAAGAGTCCTCTCTTTCTCTTTCCTTACCCAGATGGGTCTCTTTCTCTTAGCCTGGGTTCCTATCTGTAGCATACAGAGGACTGGCCCACCCCAGGCTGAGACCCTCTCTCCAGTCGTGTCAGGAAATTGGGCCTGGTTCCTCTGCCCCACCCTGCTCTCCTCACACAAAACATTCCTCTCCCTGGAGCTGGTGTGGGCCCTGCCTGCTGACTCAGTCATTTTAGACCTCCCACCTCTCTGGCCCAGCTGCTAAAGGAATGGAACTGGGGGGAGACGGGTGGGCTGAAGAGGGCGGGGCCAGAGACCTCTGGAGAGGAGCAGTTTTAAGCTTTGGCACCAGAATGGGAGAGGTCAAGTGGCTAGTGGTATGAAGAGCTATTAATAACAGGTTGTGAGTGCTGAGCCCCCAGGGATCTCAGCCTTAGGATAGGGCTGGGGGTGGCAAGGGATAAGGTCAAAAATAAGAGCACAGGACCAGGTTCTGTGACAAGCAGGCAGGAAACCAAAACCCAGAGCTCTAATCGTATGACCTCTCTGCCCTCTGAGGATTCCTCCTGTACCCAAAGCCGAGGATACCCTACAATTATTATGCCAAAGACCCAGTCCCCTTAAGGGGCAGGAGTTAGGTGGAACTGCTTGGCCAAGAGATGGAAGCAATTGCTCCGTTTCTGAGCTTGGTTATGGCTCATTCTGGGGAACCTGAGGCTACTAGTTGACCCTGAAAGCACCTGCCGGTTTTCTAGATCATACCTCACCTCCCTCTAGAAGCTGAGCCTGGCGGGAAAAGCTGACTGTTTCCCCTTTCAGGATTCCTCCTCACCTTGATTTCTGATCTGTTCCGATAAAGCACTGTGCCTTTGGGTGGGTTGCCAGGCCTGGTCTCTGGTGTCTGGGCAATAGTTGCCTAGTGGAATTAGACTGGTGTCCTTCCCTTGGCCTGTTACTTCTTTCATTCACTCTCCTCTCCCAACTTTTCGCCTGTGACAAATTGCACCCTTGGTTGCAATCCTCTTTTCTACGTCTGTGTCTTCATGGGGTCTGTTGGGGGTGCTGAAGTTGCTTTGAAGCAGGAAAAAAAAGGTATCTTTTATGAGAGCCATTTTCCCTATTATTGTGTTATACTTACCCAGTTCCTTTGATTAGAAGGTTCTTTGCTCCAAGATAGAGCAGAAGGCAGGTGAAGTGACTCATGCCTATATGAGGCCGAGGTGGGAGGGTTATTTCAGACTAGGCGTTTGAGTCCAACCTGGGCAACATGTCAAGACCCTTGTCTCTACAAATAAATAAATAAATTATGAAAAAGATTCCAAGATAGAAGAGAAGCAAACTTAAGCCCATGTGTATAGTTATGACCATCTATTGATATTTTATGTTTTTACATTAGTTACTCTTACATGTTTATTCCTGGCACTTAAAGCATTGTGAAGTAAAGCAAATGGTTCCTTTTCCTCAGAGAGTAAGTGCAGAGCATCCTTTACTCCATCTAGGGGGTTCCTTTAACTTTCTGACCACCCCTCACTTTTGGCAAAGTCTATTCCTGGCCACAGCTAGTTTTCTTTCCAACCTAGTTAACTCCCACTGCCCCAACCCATCCCCAGCTCATGGCTGCCACCTCTGGGTCCTCATGAATGGAGACTAGTTCTCGATGAGGGGACAGGACAGGTGCAGCACAAGTAGCAGCAGAATTAGGACTAGGAATGACGGCACTTGAAGAAGAGGCTCCAGGATTGGTTACCACCACCACCAGTGGAGAGGGGATGGGATGGGATGGGGTCGGGTAGGGTGCATAAGGACCACAAGGTAACTTACAGAGTCTTAAATTAAAATGACTTGGGCCTGGTGTGGTGGCTTACACCTTTAATCACAGCCTTTTGGGAGGCCGAGGCAGGTGGATCACCTAAGGTCAGGAGTTTGAGACCGGCCTGGTCAAGTCAGTGAAACCCCATCTCTACTAAAAATACAAAAATTAGCAGGGTGTGGTGGTGGATACCTGTAATCTCAGCTACTGAGGCAGGAGAATTGCTTGAACCCGGGAGGCAGAGGTCACAGTGAGCCAAGCTCATGCCATTGCACTCCAGCCTGGGTGACAAGGTTGAAACTCCATCTCAAGAAAAAAATTAAAATGATGACTCTTGGCTTGGGCATTGTCATTCACTCTCCTCTTCTGTACTCAGCATTGAATTATTATGCATTATGAGGGGGAGATTGAAAATGTATCGCTTCATTCAACAAATATTTTTTGAGTGCCTACTATGTGCTGAGCATTTCAGTGAACAAGAACAAGAATCCTCGCCTGAGTGATGGTGGCTTCAAGGAGACAGAGTGCACATAAAGTCATGACTGCAAACAATTAAGAAGCGTGGAGGGCCCATTGCTGTCCCAGAGTGCCTAAGAGTGTCAGAAGACAAAAGTACAACACATTTGGTTTAAAGATCCTGACTGGCTTTTATGTTTGAGTCCAGAATCTGGCAACAATGAGCCGAGCAGAGGAGGTGATATTATAGACAAAGAAGAGCTGAGGGAAGCAGAGACTAAGAGCAAAATGCAAACTGGTCATTGCAAAGTTACTTTTCTTGTAAAGGTTAAAGCAGGTGGCACTTTCTTATCACGCTGGCTAAAACTGTCCTGTTTGGGGATTTGGCTATTATCTCTCATTTTCCTGATTTCTTGGAAAATCAGATGAATGACTTAGTTTCGGTTTGGTGACCTGGAACTTCAGCACGAGTGAATCTATTTTGGTTTGGTCTGTTGGGCCTAGTGTAGGAGCTCAGTACAAACCAATGGCCTCTTATAAATTGTACTTAACGAGGGACATGTGCTGAAGGAGGGGTTGGAGTGGGTTGGTATATGGGAAGCCTTCATTGAAGGGAGTGGATTAAATCAGAATCAAATAGAAACAGGAGTCAGAGGATGGGGAGCGGTGTCCCCAAAGTGGGCAGAAGTACAGCATGTCAGAGGACTGTGGACTAGGAAGAGATTGAAGGGGCAACAGTGCGGGCAGTTTGTGGGTGGCTAGATGAAGAATTTACCTTTGCCCCAAAGGCATTGCAATAGGGACTCAGTGTAGGTTCTAGAATTATCCAGCGAATTTCTCCTTCCCTTTCCCTCTTACCTGGAGTCATCACTTAACAAGTGGTTTTGAGAGAGCTTTAGAGTCTCCATTACAGTTCTCCCTCAGTATCTGTAGGGGATTGGTTCCAGGACCCCCACAGATACTGAAATCTGAGGATGCTCAAGTCTCCTATATAAAGTTTGCATATTTGCATATATAATCTAGGCACAGTCTCCTGTATACTTTAAATCATCTCTAGGTTACTTATAATATTTAGTACAATGTAAACGTTATGTGATAGTTCTTGTGTTATGTATTTTTTTGTATTATATTTTATTGTGTGGTTATTTACTGTTTTCTGAGTATTATCAGTCCAGGGTTGGTTGAACCTGGGGATGCAGAACCCGTGGATACAGAGGGTTGATTGTATTTCATAGCCTGTTAGCTGTGGCTCATTCTTAAAGAGACTGGTGTTTTACCCTTAGTACCACCTTCAGCAGGCCACTGATAAGTGGGAAAGGAGAACTGTCTCAGTGGCCCGCTGGAGGTGGCCAGACGGTAGTGAAAGCCACTTCTGCTTCTTTGTCCCTTTGGGAGCCTTTACAGTTGCTTTTAGCAATCTCAGCCCTCACTCCTATTTCCCTCCCTACAGATAGACTTCACTGCTGACCAGATTGAAGGTGAGTATGGACAACCCCACCTCGCCATCTTTATTGCCCTTTCCTGGTGGAGGAAGAAAAGGAGGAGGAGTTGTTGTTCTCATGGTAATAGTAGTCACTGTCATCCTCATCATAGTAAACCTATATTGAGCATCTACTATGTGTTAGGCACAGTCCTAAGCACTTTCTGTGGATTAACTCCTTTAATTCTCATAACAACACCATGAGGTAGCAATTGTTACCTCCTCCATTTTACAAGTGATAAAACTGAGACACAGAGAGAAGGGGTGACTTGTCCAGTCTCACACGGCAGTTACCAGTAGAACTAGGATTCAAACTCAGGCAATCTGATTCTGGACTTGTGTTCTCTTTTTTTTTTTCTTCTTCTTTTTTTGGATCTGTGTTTTCAACTACTCTGCCAGACTGCTTGGAGTGTAATAGATGCTCAAGAAAAGTGAGTGCCTTTTTTTCTCCACCCCAGAGATCTAAGATATTTGGAAGCCTCATTTCTGTTCCCATTATTGGAAATCCCTCCTTAGTTGACCAGCTTCCCCTCCTCCCATGATGAAGTCTGCCAAGATGCTAACCCACTAATGGTGGCAAGGCCAATGAAATATTTTATCATGTGATGCTACGTGTCCCCAGCCAAGCAGGACTCACTGTCATTGCAGTATCCTTCTGCTTCCCCCACCAAATGCCTCCAGGATATAAAATTATAGGCATTAGAAGGGACCCTGAAAAATCACCTAATTCAAACCCCTCGTTTGAAGCACATAATCTCTTTTAAAAATTAAATGAATACTTACACATGGTAAAAAAAAAAAAAAAGCAAAAAAAGCATACACATATTACTTTAAAATAAATAATAAAAAATAAAAGTCCTTGTTTTTTTCATGCTGATTCCTCTCCCAAAGACAATGACTGTGAACAGGTGTTCATGTATCCTTTCAGAAATATATATATATATATAATGATACACAAGTTTATGTGTATGTCTGATGAATATATAAAGTTTATACAAATCAAGTCATGTGATACACACCATCCACCTTTTATTAAACATATACTTGGATTTAATAATATATATGATTCAGTAATATTATCTGGATATCTTTTCACAATTAACACAAACAGTTCTACTTTATTCTTTTTTTTTTTTTTTTTTTTTTTTTTGAGACAGAGTGTCGCTCTTGTTACCCAGGCTGGAGTGCAATGGCACGATCTCGGCTCATCGCAACCTCCGCCTCCTGGGTTCAGGCAATTCTCCTGCCTCAGCCTCCTGAGTAGCTGGGACTACAGGCATGCGCCACCATGCCCAGCTAATTTTTTGTATTTTTAGTAGAGACGGGGTTTCACCACGTTGACCAGGATGGTCTCGATCTCTCGACCTCGTGATCCACCCGCCTCAGCCTCCCAAAGTGCTGGGATTACAGTACTTTATTCTTTTTTTTTTTTTTTTTGAGACGGAGTTTCGCCCTTGTTATCCAGGCTGGAGAGCAATGGCGCGATCTCGGCTCACCGCAACCTCTGCCTCCTGGGCTCAGGCAATTCTCCTGCCTCAGCCTCCTGAGTAGCTGGGATTACAGGCACGTGCCACTATGCCCAGCTAATTTTTTGCACTTTTTGTAGAGACGGGGTTTCACCATACTTTATTCTTTTAAACAATTATATAGACTCTCACACATAGATTTAGCCTTTTAATTTAATCAGAACTATATTGATAGACTTTCAAATTGTTTCCAGTTGAAGGGTATCAGCTTGCTTTCCCCAGGTGACCTTCCTAGCAGTGGGTTAAAGGATGGCGCACTTTAAATTATAATGGTTATTGCCAGGTTGCTATCTAAAAAAGTGACACCAGTTTACCCACAAATACAACATGAGAGCTGGCACATGCATTTTGAAACTAGTGAATTGAGCCTGACTCTGTTTATATAATACTCAGTGGATACTCACTTGCAATCAGTAGTTTCAGGGATGCTGTGAAATTCTTTTTTTTTTTTTTTTTTTTTTAAAGACAGGGTTTCACCATGTTGGTCAGGCTGGTCTTGAACTTCCAACTTCAGGTGATCCACCCGCCTTGGCCTCCAAAGTGCTTGGATTACAGGCGTGAGCCACCGTGCCCGGTCAAGCTGTGAAATTCTTAAAATCAATTTTAATGTGTTTTAGTTAAATATATACTTATGTGGATATAAAAACACAATGACACTAATGAGGACTTGAAAATCAACTGATGGTTTAAAATTTTTATTTCTCAAATGGCCAGCTGGAACAGATGGTTGTCTCTTCTCTCCTAAAGATGTTCAGGGCTGATAGGGAGGGGATAACTCATTCTGATCTTTTATCCCTCCAACCTTGAAGACATTTTTCCTACTGTTGAGTCAGAATTGTTTTTCCTTCAATTTTACCCCAGCAATCTTTTCGTTTGTTTTCTTGGCGAAGCTGATAATAATTTTCTCATGTTATGGTGGAAAGAACATTATTTAGAATTAGGAGACTTTCGTATTAGCCCTAATTCTGCCACTACTGGCCGTCAGATGTTGGACAAGTCAATTCTTTAAATCTTAATTTTCTTTTCTTTTTTTTTTTTTTTGAGATGGAGTTTCGCTCTTGTTACCCAGGCTGGAGTGCAATGGCGCGATCTCGGCTCACCGCAACCTCCGCCTCCTGGCTTCAGGCAATTCTCCTGCCTCAGCCTCCTGAGTAGCTGGGATTACAGGCATGCGCCACCATGCCCAGCTAATTTTTTGTATTTTTAGTAGAGACGGGGTTTCACTATGTTGACCGGGATGGTCTCGATCTCTTGACCTCGTGATCCACCCGCCTCAGCCTCCCAAAGTGCTGGGATTACAGGCTTGAGCCACCGCGCCCGGCCAAATCTTAATTTTCTTATCTACAAAGTGAAAGTATTTGGTTTCCAATTCAGAAATTCTGGTCCATTCAGCATCCTCTAGATATCCTCCATCTATATGGAGATAGTTTTCAAATCCCTCCTAAGATTTATATTTTTCTAGGTGATATGCCCCAATTTATTTAATTATATTATTTTATTTTGAGACAAAGTCTCACTCTGTCACCTAGGCTGGAGTGCAATGTTGCCATCATAGCCCACTGTAACCTTGAATTCCTGGTTTTAAGCAGTCCTTTCACCTCAGTATCCTGAGTAGCTAGTATTATAGGCATGTACCATTGTTTTTATGTTTTGTAGAGATGGGAGTCTTGCTATATTGACCAGACTGGGCTCCAACTCCTGGCCTCAAGCAATCCTCCCCACTTGGCCTCCCAAAGTGCTGGGATTATTGGCATTAAGTCACTGTGCCTGGCCTCCCAATTTCTTTTGTGCTTTTTAAAAAAATCTCATAGGAATGACCTTCTAACCCTTGACTTCCTTCTCATCTCTCTCCAGATTTCTGTATTCTTTTAGAGAGGGGTTACTACCACTGGACTCATTGCTCTAGTAAGCAGCTGACTGCACTACTGCAGAGTATTGAGGAAAGGTCTCTTCTGGACCCTTGAACATCTCCTCTAATACCTGAAGATCACACTGGCTTTTTTTTTTTTTTTTTCTAGTTGTAGTCCTAAACTTCAGAGTTTGTATTTTTATTTTTATTTTTGTGCATACCAGGCTTTCCAGCAGGCCAGGCGACCGGTTGGAGCATTAGCAGTTACAAGAAGCTGATCTCCTCCTCTTCCTCCTTCTTCCCCATCATTTCCTTGGTTTCCTTAGTGGCTGATCATAAGTCACATCTACATTGGCTTTTAAATGAGGACAATAATACCTATAGCATACATTTTTAAGTAAAGATTGATGAAGTGTTCTATGCAAAATTATTTGCTCAGAGCCTGGTTCATGGTAAGTGCTCAAATCATAAGTCATTGTTCTTTTTACCTTCCTCTTCAGGTTTCACCCTCCTTTTTTTTTTTTTTTTTATCGAGATGGAGGCTTGCTTTGTCACCTAGGCTGGAGTGTGGTGGCAAGATCTCAGCTCACCAAAATCTCTGCCTCCCGGATTCAAGCAGTTCTCTGCTTCAGCCTCCCAAGTAGCTGGGACTACAGGTGCATGCCACCATGCCTGGCTAATTTTTTCTATTTTAGTAGAGATGGGGTTTCATCGTGTTGCCCAGGCTGCTCATGAACTCCTGAGCTCAAGCAATCCACCCACCTCGACCTCCCAAAGTGCTGGGATTATAGGTGTGAGCCACTGCACCCAGCCTCACCCTCTTATTAAGCATCATTACATTTTTTTTTTTTTTTTTTTTTTTTTTGAGACAGAGTTTCGGTCTTGTTGCCTAGGCTGGTGCGTAATGGCCTGATCTCGGCTCACCGCAACCTCTGCCTCCTGGGTTCAAGTGATTCTCCTGCCTCAGCCTCCTGAGTAGCTGGGATTACAGGCATGCATCACCATGCCCAGCTAATTTTGTATTTTTAGTGGAGATGGGGTTTCTCCACGTTGGTCAGGATGGTCTCAAACTCCCGACTTCAGGTGATCCACCCACCTCGGCCTTCCAAAGTGCTAAGGTTACCTCTGTGAGCCACCACACGCATTGCATCATTACATCTTCTTTTGAGGAGGCTTCCTCTTTTGTTAAACCTGATCTCACTCTCCTGAATGAGCTAGGAGATCAAAAAGTCTGACTTCAGATTCAACTAACTAATATAAATTTATTGAGTACTGAATTTGTGTCAGACACCATGCTAATTGTTTTGAAAATTGAAAAAGATTAAATCCTGGCCAGGTGCAGTGGCTCATACCTGCACTTTGGGAGGCTGAGGCAGGTGGATCACTTGAGGTCATTAGTTCTAGACCGACCAACATGGTGAAACCCTGTCTCTACCAAGAATATAAAATATTAGCTGGGTGTAGTGGTGTGCACCTGTAATCCCACTACTCAGAAGGCTAAGGCAGGAGATTGCTTGAACCTGGGAGGCAGAGGTTAAAATGAGCCCAGATTGTGCCACTGCCTTCCAGCCTGGGCGACACAGCAACACTCTGTCTCAAAAAAAAAAAAGAAAAAAAAATTAGTTCCTTATAACAAGCCTATGAGGTAGGTGTTAGTTCCCTTTTACAAAGGAGGAAACCAAGGTTCAGCAAGGTTAAATGATTTGGCCAAGATCACACGGTTAAGTGATCCAAACTAGGATTAAACTCAGTAAGATAATACCAGCAGAATTGTTTATGCATTTACTATGTACTGGACATTGTGTTAAAGATTTTTACGTACATTATTGTATTTATATACATAGTATAGTTACATACATTATTATATTAATTTGAATGTATTTTTTTTTAATTTTTATTTTTATTGAAACGCAGTTTTGCTCTTGTTACCCAGGCTGGAGTGCAATGGCACAATCTCGGCTCACTGCAACCTCTGCCTCCTGGGTTGAGGCAATTCTCCTGCCTCAGCCTCCCGAGTAGCTGGGACTACAGGCGTGAGCCACCATGCCCAGCTAATTTTTTGTATTTTTAATAGAGACAGGGTTTCACCATGTTGACCAGGATGGTCTCAATTTCTTGACCTCGTGATCCACCTGCCTTGGCCTCCCAAAGTGCTGGGATTACAGGCATGAGCCACCGCAAATTAGCCCGGCCTAATTTGAATGTAATTTAAGAAACCTATGATGTGGGTACCATTTATAGAAGAGGTTTTTAGAGGTTAAATATTTGCCCAAGGTCAAGTAAGCAAGGGGAATGAAATTGAACTCAATTATTCAGCAATGTGAAAGAAACGTGGTTTTGTATCTTTTAAATTCATATAAGGCCTAATAAAGAGTTGAAAGTAAAGGTCTGGGGAATTTCCTATGATATGTGGAATGATTTGTAAATAATCCATATGTAGCCACTAAGGAGAGAAGTACTTGGAAAGGATTAAAATCATCTTTTTTCCCTAAGTAGTTTATTAATTCTCTTTTTGGCTTATACTGTTAATCTGCTTAATAAACCACTTCTTTGTGGATAGCATAAGGTAACTTCAGTGCCTCTCCCAGGCCAAATTACCTCCACTAATGAACTGGTTGAATCCCATTCAATGAAGAATTGGGCCTGGGTGTGGTAGCTCACGCCTGTAATCCCATCACTTTGGGAGGTCAAGGAGTGCTGGGTCAAGGAGGACAGATCACTTGAGGCCAGGAATTTGAGACCTGCCTGGCCAAAGTGGTGAAACCCCATCTCTACTAAAATACAAAAATTAGCCAGGTATGGTGGTACACACCTATAGTCCCAGGTACTTGGGAGGCTGAGGCACAGGAACTGCTTGAATCAAGGAGGCAGAGGTTGCAGTTGCAGTGAACCAAGATTGCACCACTGCACTGCAGCCACGTTAACAGAGCAGGACCCTATCTCAAATAAAAACAAAAGCAAATCAATGAAGAATTAAGGTTCTTTGGAAAAGGGACCAGGATTGCCTTCCTTTGGTCTTGGTCCAGGGATACTTGCCCTGCTGCCTTCAAGGAGTCCAGTCCCTGTGGTTCTGAGCTGGAAAGTAGGAAACAGAACTAGGAAACGTTTGTAACCACCACCTGTCGATTCCCTTATCATATGGTGGACATTGCTTGGTGTGCTTTGTGATCCCACCTGCAGCCTCCTCAAGTGATCACTGTATCTCCAGTTAGAGCTAAGAAAACAAGGGCCCACAGAGGTTAGTAGTTTGCCCAAGGCTGTATGTGGGTCGATGGCAGAGCTGGGGTGGTCGGACCATGCCTCATCTGGCCTGGGAGCCGTCTTTCAGCCTGGAACAGGCAGTACTGATAATAGCTAACTTTCCAGCAGGTCTTATCATGCTGTAAAGTACTTCCACAGAATGCCACCTCCCTTTGCTTTCATGGTGACAGGGCCAGGGAGTAGGGGGGTGTAGATGTCACTCCCTTTGTGTGCATAGGAAGTTGAGATCCAGCCCAGCTTACCCTGTGCTCTGAGGTAGAGCCAAGATAAGAATTTAGGAATCCTCAGTTCTGGGCCAGTGCTATTTTCACTCTTTTGTCATTTCAGCAATCAGGAACCTCACCTACACCAGAGCAGGATGTGTGGGTGGGAGGGGCCAAGGCCAGGGAGACATTTGAATTTGTTTTGTTTTGTTTTGTGAGATACAGTCCAGCTTACTGCAACCTCTGCCTCCTGGGGTCAAGAGATTCTTGTGCCCCAGCCTCCCAACATTCAAATTTTGTAACAACCAAGCAATAGCAGAGATTCCAGACCCAGTCCTGGAATGGGTCGCAGAGGCACCAGGCTGCCTCTTGGGTTGGCAGAAGATGGGATGGGGAAAGGTTTGAGGGAGGGCCTGGGATGATGGACAAAGAGAAATACTGGAATATTTTAACAACCACACTTGGGTGGAGGCTGATTGGCCACCAGCCACCACTTTCACTGGGAATCGAGGGGTACAGCCAGGTCTTTTCTCCACAGAGTTCAAAGAGGCCTTTTCACTGTTTGACCGGACCCCGACTGGAGAGATGAAGATCACCTACGGGCAGTGCGGGGACGTGCTGCGGGCCCTGGGCCAGAACCCCACCAACGCCGAGGTGCTGCGCGTGCTGGGCAAGCCCAAGGCTGAAGGTCAGTGCGGCCGCAGGGCAGACTTCTCCCAGGTCAGCCTTGCAGTGTCTGGCTCCCCGCTCGTCCAGATTTGTCTCTGCCATCTGCGCTCTCTATTCTTCCCTGTTAGGCCCCCAGGATCAGTCTCCCCTCCCCAGGTTACCCTAGCCCCATTCTGATGATTTATTTAGAAGTTCCCATACTTAAGTGACCCTTGAGGAATGTAACCTGGGTTTCTTTTCCTCTCAAGATTGGGAGCTCCTGGGGGGCAGGAGCCACATTCTGTTGCCTCAGTGTCTGACGCCCCCACCAGGGTGTCAGAGACACAGCCATGGGCAGGAAGGCTGGGTGGGAATCTGGAATAGCGGATGGTTCCCACTCCCCAACCCAGGAGCTCTCAGGAGAGGCATCTGTCACAGCACTGAGATATCCTGAGCTGTATTACAAATAATTTGTTTCTGATAATGGTTACAGCACTGACATTTGCAAATTATTTGTTTGATATATATTAGAGGAGCTTCAAGATTCTTAGCTCTACAGGCTTCCTCTTTCATTCATTTGCATTTCAATGGGTTTTGGTGAGTGAGTGTTTAGAATGATGAGTGAATGTTTAGAAAGCAGTGCAAACCACCGGCGCGGTGGCTCATGCCTGTAATCCCAGCACTTTGGGAGGCCGAGGCGGGTGGATCATGAGGTCAAGAGATCGAGACCATCCTGGTCAACAAGGTGAAACCCCGTCTCTACTAAAAATACAAAAAATTAGCTGGGCATGGTGGCACGTGCCTGTAATCCCAGCTACTCAGGAGGCTGAGACAGGAGAATTGCCTGAAGCCAGGAGGCGGAGGTTGCGGTGAGCCGAGATCGTGCCATTGCACTCCAGCCTGGGTAACAAGAGCGAGACTCCGTCTCAGAAAAAAAGAAAAAAAAGAAAGTGGTGCAAACCGATTCTTTTGTAGTTCCTAAGTGTGATCATTGAGTGTTCATACGCATTTTTTCTTTCTTTTTTTTTTTTTGAGACGGAGTTTCGCTCTTGTTACCCAGGCTGGAGTACAATGGCGCGATCTCAGCTCACCGCAACCTCCGCCTCCTGGGCTCAAGCAATTCTCCTGCCTCAGCCTCCTGAGTAGCTTGGACTACAGGCGTGCGCCACCATGCCCAGCTACTTTTTGTATTTTTAGTAGAGATGGGGTTTCACCATGTTGACCAGGATGGTCTCGATCTCTTGACCTCGTGATCCACCCGTCTCGGCCTCCCAAAGTGCTGGGATTACAGGTGTGAGCCACCGCGCCTGGCCTTGTTCTTACTCATTTGTGAGCTGCGCCACCGTCAATCCTTGTTACGACAGATGAAAAGAGGTGCGAGGAAGTGCGTCCCATTTGTGAATGTCATCTGTTATGTGTGCCAGTGAAGTTAACAGCTGCTGTAAAACACACACACACACACACACACACACACACACACACACACGCTTCTCCTCAGTGGTGTTGGCATGGGGCTTGGGGTGGGGTGAGCCTCTCGGCAAGAGTGGGCTTCCTGGGGCCCACATTGGTTCTCTCCCCGTTCCTTGGTTCTGGCCCCTTCCCCTTTTCCTCTGGCTGAAGATAACCTTGGGGGTGAAGGATGAGGCCAAGAAAGGATCAGAGGGTGAGGAGCTTGCTTCTCAGAAGTCAGAAGCAGCCAGGTGCGGTGGCTCAAGCCTGCAATCCCAGCACTTTGGGAGGCCGAGGTGGGTGGATCACGAGGTCAAGAGATCGAGACTATCCTGGTCAACATGGTGAAACCCTGTCTTTACTAAAAATATAAAACATTAGCTGGGCATGGTGGCACGTGCCTGTAATCCCAGCTACTCAGGAGGCTGAGGCAGGAGAATTGCCTGAACCCAGGAGGTGGAGGTTGCGGTGAGCCGAGATCGTGCCATTGCACTCCAGCCTGCGTAACAAGAGTGAAACTCTGTCTCAAAAAAAAAAAAAAAAAAAAAAAAAAAAAAAAAAAAAATGTCAGAAGCAAGTCCTGGGTGCTTATAAAATAAAGAAATGCCCACATTTGTGGTAGTTAAAAATAGCTTACCTCTATTAAAGTAAAGCTTTTTAACACACTACCATGTGGGAGAAGTGTGCTATTCACAAGAGAACTGCAATTTTATAAACTTACTGAATCAGAGTAGCTTCACACAGTGTGGTCTAGTGATGGGACCCCACGCAGAGTGATGAAAACATTTCTTTTTCAATCCTGTTGGTTTGCCCCTGTGACTATAGGTCTGTCACACCTCAAGAGTATAAACTGAGTATGAGGCCCTGGGCCACGTGGCACCTCAGGCCCCTCACATCCTGCAGCTGTCGCCCTCAGTTGCTGTGCCTGGCTGGCCACCTTGTGCACGGAGGCCTGGATGGAGGGTTTCTTTTTCCTTCCACCCTATTCCTTTCACTGAGAAAAGAGTGCCCTGAGACGGTCTTCCCAGCTCCCAAGCCTTGCTTGGATCGGCAGCTCTGTGTCTTCTAGGAGCACTAATGGGTGCCCCACCCGGAAGTGGCTGCAGTCCAGGCCCTGGGAGCTGCCAGATGTGCGGTGAGGCCCCCTCCTGATCCTCTGCTCCCCTGAACATCTGCTCACGTTGCTTTCTCTTTCTTTACCCATGCCTACCAAAAGAGATGAATGTCAAGATGCTGGACTTTGAGACGTTCTTGCCCATCCTGCAGCACATCTCCCGCAACAAGGAGCAGGGCACCTATGAGGACTTCGTGGAAGGCCTGCGTGTCTTTGACAAGGAGAGCAATGGCACGGTCATGGGCGCTGAGCTGCGGCACGTCCTTGCCACCCTGGGTATGGCAGCTAGGCAGAGATGAAAACCTAGTGGGCGGAATGGAGGGGTGGGAGGTGCCGAGGTGACATATGCTGGTGGGAGTGTTATACAAGGGTCTCTGCATCCTGAGGATAATGACCTGATCCAGGCCCTGCCTCCCTGAGCTCTGCAAGAACAACCATCCCTAGCTGGGTTTGCTCAGCAAGAACCAGTGTTTGGGAGAGGAGGAGAAAGGAGGTTGGCAGAGCAGGGGTTACTTCCGGGGCCTGAGCGGTGGGACTCTGGGCTTCTGTCCTTGTCTTTGCCTGAAACACTGAGGCCCTGGCAGCTGTAAGGCAGAGGGGGAGGCTTTGGAGACTAGGCAAGACCTTAAGACCCTGGCCCCACCCTTCAAAGCCTTTGGGAGAGGCTTGGTTTCAACTGCCTCCCAGATCCAGGTAGTCTTGGACCTTCAGACTTAAGGGGGTACTTGAGTATTGCCAATTCCTCCTTTGCCATCTGTAATTAAGAGTCCACCACCTCCCAAACCCACCGCAGGAGAAAAGATGACTGAGGCTGAAGTGGAGCAGCTGTTAGCTGGGCAAGAGGATGCCAACGGCTGTATCAATTACGAAGGTATTAAGCTGTGCCTTGCTTCCCAGGGCAGCCAGGATGGTAGGATGGGAACAGCTTGTGTGGGTGGGCCCAGGAACTGGAGGGTGTGTGTCTCAGGTGTGCTTTGGTAGACCCCTCATTGGATGTTGTTCTTTTTTGTCTTGTGAGTGAACCTCCTAGTGTCATGGCGGGAGCATGGATTTTGGAGATAGCTCTGTGGTATATTAGCTGGTGCCCTTAAGTCACTTATTTTCTCTGAGCCTCAGTCTTCTCATCTGAGGGATGGGGTGATGCTGGCACCTTTCTCAAGGTTGTGGGGATTCACAGAGATAATGTAGCTCTTTCCATTTGTATTGAGAATCAGCACAGAGAGTGGTCCCAGAGTAGAGTTTAGATGTCTGCCCTTCCTCCACCTTCTCCCCACTAACCCCCAAATAAGAGCAGGAACTACATAGTCTGGAGAAAGGGGAGCACGAGGGTTGGAAGTCAGGCAGTGTAGAAAAGGGACAAGTGGTTTATGGGCCTAGAGGTGCTGAGCCACACGGCGGCTGATTCTTACTTCTTTCCTAGCCTTTGTCAAGCACATCATGTCAGGATGAGGCAGAATCTTCCGGGTGAGTGCAGCCTCTCCCTCCTTGTCCCTTCTGGGGTTACACAAGGGCTTAAGGATAATGCCACATGCCCTAGAGGGCATCTGCCCCAGTCCTGTCCCCTTAGGAGGAAACCACTTGGGAGCAGGACATGAGGACAGTCCTGCTCACTCACCGTCTCCTGTCTCCTGCCCTCCCTTGCCTGTTCACCCTGTCTTGACCCTATCCATCACATTCTCCTGCCTCTCCCACGACTTCTCAAGGCAACGCCCTTCCTTCAGGCCTGGGGCCTCCTGTACAGGCTCCTGGGGATGAGAAAGCCAGATCCCAAGTGGAAGAGAGGGTCCCCGGCCTGTGCTCTTGACTCTGTTCTTCCTCACTTCTTTCCCTCAGTTTCCCCTGTAAGCCCCCTGGGGGTGGGAAGGGGGTGGGTATAGGAGGAGAAAATGCCCTTTCCACCTAGCACTTTCTTTCAGGTGCCTGGCCCTTGGCCTTAGCCATACCAGGGTGAGTTAGAGAGAGGTCCCGGATGTGAGCTGAGACAGTCCTGGACTGATCACCACGCCAGTGCCCCAAGGACCTCACAGCCCCTCCCTGTTTAATAAACAGCTCCAATATGGCCAGGCTGGGCTCCAGGATTCTGACCAGTCTCTGCTTTGTTTGTTTTGTAAAACTAATCAACAAATTGAGTTGGTTTGTGGTGTGTGTGTGTGTGTGTGTGTGTGTATGTGTGTGTGTGTGTGAGATGACGTCGCCTGAGGGCTTGTGTGTGCTCAGAGAAATGAGTAGTATCTGGGAGCTAGGAGACAAGGACAAAAGCCTGTGGATCTGGAGATACTGGGGTCAGACCCAGGAGACCAAGCTCTGGAAGGCCAGCAGCTTGAGGGCTTGTCACCTGTAGGAGTTTCATTCCCTTCACTGCTCACCCTCTGCCTTATCACACCTCCAGGTGGCAGCAGGAGGGGCCGGGCTGAGGTAGGGACTCCTCCTATGGTCCTTGCTGTTGCTGCTTTTTAAAAAAAAATGTTGTAAAATACACATAAAATTTACCATCTTAACCATTTTTCTTTTTTTTTTTTTTGTGCCTCCCAAAGTGCTGGGATTACAGGTGTGAGCCAGTGTACCCAGTTTCTTCCCCCTCACCCCCAGACGGAGTTTCACTCTTGTTGCCTAGAGTGCAATAATGCAATCTCGGTTCATCGCAACCTCCGCCTCCCGGGTTCAAGTGATTATCCTGCCTCAGCCTTCTGAGTAGCTGAGATAATAGGCATGTGCCAGCACGCCCAGCTAATTTTGTGTTTTTAGTAGAGATGGGTTTTCTCTATGTTGGTCAGGCTGGTCTTGAACTCCCAACCTCAGGTGATCCGCCTGCCTTGGCCTCCCAAAGTGCTGGGATTATAGGTTTGCGCCACTGCACCCAGCTTTTTTTTTTTTTTTTTTCTTAAGACAGAGTCTCACTCTGTCGTCCAGGCTGGAATACAGTGGCATGATCTTGGCTCACTGCAACATCTGCCTCCTGAATTCAAGCAATTCTCATGCCTCAGCCTCCTAAGTAGCTGGGATTACAGGTGTACCACCCCGCCCACCGGCCCCCGACCATACCTGGCTAATTTTTTTTTAAGACGGAGTCTTGCTTTGTCGCCAGGCTGGAGCACAGTGGCACAGTCTCGGCTCACTGCAACCTCCGCCTCCTGGGTTCAAGCGATTCTTGTGCCTGAGCCTCCCGCATAGCTGGGACTACAGGTGTGTGCCAAATGCCTGGCTAATTTTGTATTTTTAGTAGAGACGGGGTTTCACCATGTGGGCCAGGATTGGTTTCGAACTCCTGACAGCAAGTGATCCACCCGTCTTGGCTTCCCAAGGTATTGAGGTTACAGGCATAAGCCACCACGCCTTGCCCAGTTGTACTTCTTTCTTTCTTTTTTTTTTTTTTTGAGACAGTCTTGTTCTGTTGCTCCGCTGGAGTGCAGTGGCGCGATGCGATGTTGGCTCACTGTAACCTCCACCTCCTGGGTTCACGTGATTCTCTTGCCTCAGCCTCCCAAGTAGCTGGAATTACAGGAGTGTGCCACTATGCCTGACTAATTTTATATTTTTAGTAGAGACAGGGTTCCACTGTGTTGTCCAGGCCAGTCTCAAAGTCCCAGCCTCAAATGATCCACGCATCTTGGCCTCCCAAAGTGCTGGGATTACAGGTGTGAGTCAGTGTGCCTGGCCCTAAAGCCACTACGGTGTTTTTTATTTTTTATTTTTTATTTTTAATAAGAAAAAGAATAAAGAAGAGGAAGAAAGAGAAAGAGGAAGAGCGAGAGAGGATGGGGGTATTGCTTTATTGCCCGGGCTAGAATGCAGTCTAAATATGGGTATGCCTATAATTGTCCTTAATAATGGAGACATAAAAGAAAATGAGGGAAGAGAATAACAAACAAGGAGCCAACCAAGATTTCTTTTAAACTTCTAAGTTGATATGATATGGTACTGATAAGAGTGTATATTTTGTATATTTAAAGTGGAGAGTTCTATAAATGTTAATTACATTTACTTGTTCCAGATCTGAGTTCAAGTCCTGGATATCGTTGTTAACTTTCTGTCTCACTGATTTGTCTAATATTAATGTTGAAGTCTCCCACTATTATTATGTGGGAGTCTAAGTCTCTTTATAAGTCTTGTATGTCTGTGTATTCCTGTATTGGGTGCGTATATATTTAGGATCTTTAGCTCTTCTTGTTGTTGCATTGATCCTTTTATCATTATATAATGTCCTTCTTTGCTTCTTTTGATCTTTGTTGCTTAATTGTAACTTCTGCTTTTTATTTATTGATTTTAGCTCTCTGTTTGGTTGGTAAATCCTTCTCCATCCCTTGTTTTGAGTCTTTGTGTATCCTTGAATGTGAGATGGGTCTGGATGCAGCATACTGATGGGTTTTAGTTTTTTATTCAAATTGCCTGTCTGTCTTTGGATTGGGGGATTTAGTCAATTTAAATTTAGAATTAATAATAATATATGTGAGCTTAATACTGCCATTTAATATTAGCTGGCTATTTTGCCCATTAGTTGATGTAAATTCTTCATTATATTGATGCTCTTTTTGATAATTTTTTTAGAAAGGCTGATACTGTTTGTTCCTTTCTGTGTGTAGTGGTTCTTTCAGAAGCTCTTGTAAAGCAGGCCTGATGGTGATGAAATCTCTGAGCGCTTGCTTATTCACAAAAAAGTTTATTTTTCCTTCACTTGTGAAGCTTAGTTTGGCTGGTTGTGAAATTCTGGGTTGCAAGTTCTTTTCTTTAAGGATGTTGAATATTGGTCCCCACTCTCTTCTGGCTTGTAGGGTTTCTGCTGAGAGATCTGCTGTAAGTCTGATAGGCTTCCCTTTGTGGGTAACCTGACCTTTCTCTCTGGCTGCCCTTAGTATTTTCTCCTTCATTTCAACCCTGGTGAATCTGACGATTATGTGCCTTGGAGTTGCTCTTCTTGAGGAATATCTCTGTGGTGTTCTCTGTATTACCTGGAGTTGAATGTTATCCTGCCTTACTAGGTTGGGAAAATTTTCCTGAATAATATCCTGAAGCGTATTTTCCAGCTTGGATTCATTCTCTTCGTCACATTCAGGTACACCTATCAAGCGTAGATTAGGTCTTTTCACATAGTCCCATATTTCTTGGAGACTTTGCGCGTTCCTTTTTATCCTTTTTTCTCTAATCTTGTCTTCTTGTTTTACTTCATTGAGTTGGTCTTTGACCTCTGATATCCTTTCTTCTGCTTGATCAATTAGGCTGTTAAAACTTGTGCATACTTCACGTAGTTCTCGTATTGTGTTTTTCAGCTCCATCAATTCACTTATATTCCTCTCTAAATTGTGTATTCTTGTTAACATTTCGTCAAATCTTTTTTCAAAGTTCTTAGTTACTTTAGATTGGGTTAAAACAAGTTCTTTTAATTCACAGAAGTTTCTCATTATCCACATTTTGAAGCCTGCTTCTGTAATTGGAACACACTCGTTCTCCATCAGCCTTGTTCTGTTGCTGATGAGGAACTGTGCTCCCCCGCTGAGGGAGAGGCGTTCTGATCTTGGGTATTCTCAGCTTTTTTTGGCTGTTTTCTTCCCTTCGTTATAAATTTATCCATCTGTGGTCTTTGTATTTACCATCTTTGTAGTTGGGTTGCTGAGTGGACGTCCAACTTATTGATTCTCAGCGCCGAAATCTGAGCAACCCGCTGTGCCGACTAAATCAGCGGCGTTAAAATTGATGGGCTTTTCTGACTCTGCACCAAGAACCGTCGCTCCAAGGCGCTGGCAAAACCGCCTCGCTGGTCACAAGAGTCGCACTAGTGACCCATGGGGCTCCTCCGCTGGGAATCTCCTGGTGTGTGAGCAACAAGAATTCATGTGAAGATGTGGCGTCCTCTCATTCTTTGAGCTTTCACTGGGAGCTACAATCCCGAGGTGCTAGTGATCAGCCATCTTGGATCTCTCTCCCTATTTTTCTTTTTGAGACGGAGTCTCGCTCTGTCGCCCAGGCTGGAGTGCAGTGGCACAATCTCAGCTGGCTGCAACCTCCACCTCCTGAGTTCAAGCAATTCTTCTGCCTCAGCCTTCCGAGTAGCTGGGACTAGAGGTGAGCGCCACCACGCCTGGCTAAGTTTTGTATTTTTAGTAGAGATGGGGTTTTACCATATTGGCTAGGCTGGTTTTGAACTCCCATTGTATGGATGGACTGCAGTTTGGTTTGGTCCTTGCTTTTTTAGATGCCTCTTCCGCTGAATGTGAAGCTCCAAGTACCTGTGTTAGTCTTGCATGTTCTGGAAATCTCATTGACTCCAGACCCAGGATTCCAGCTCAGTGCCCTGGAAAGAGTCAAGGTCAGAGGTCATGAACCTCAAGCTGAGAGGGGAGGGGAGCGGGGAGAGGCTCGTGCAAAGAGGAGAGACGCCAGAAAACCAGCAGTTGGGAAGAAGGAGCAAGATGATGTGATGAAGTTAAAGACACATGTATATGAGTAGAAATATTTATATGGGACCTCAGGGGTCCAGTCATCTGAGAAAGGGAGTCGCTACATCCCTGAGAATTCCCCAAGGTGAAGTAAATACTTCCCATGGCCTTTCTGTTGCATAAAACTGTCAAGCATACAGCTACAGAACTCTGTGGAACAACTGTGAGTCCAGCCAAGGCTGCCTGCCTGTCGTGGGAAGCTGAGAACCATGAGCCCAAGTTTGCCCTTCTTAGGATGTACATTTCTGGCTGGGGAGATAAGATCAAAGTCTATATATATGTCCTTTGTTTCCCAGATTTTCTTTGCATTCAGCGGAAGAGGTTTCAGCTTTGGTAGTGACTGATTGAATCTCAAAACCAGAGATCTTTATACAGTTGAGGAGGGGTTCATTGAATCCAGTGGTTCTGAAACTTTGGTTTAGCCCCATAGCCTTTTGTTCAAACTAAATTTTATGGGGAAGTCGGTGTGTGTAGCCGAAGAGAACAGAGCTTCTCTGGCTGAGGAGAGGGGCTGGCTTCAGGCTTCTTGGAGCCTCTAACTGGGCTCCTTGGAACGGAGCCAGTCAGACTTTCTAATTGTCAAAATCAGGAAACCAGATCCTTAGAGCTGAAGTGACTTAATCAAAGTCACAGCTAGTGTTGACAAGGTCCCC